ATGAGAGAGAATCATTGATCAGCTGCCTCCTGCACTGGGTATCTAGCCCGAAACCTGGGCATGTGTCCTGACCGGGAATTGAACCCTGACTTCCTGGTTCATAGGTTGATGCCCAACCACTGAGCTATGCCAGTGGTTCTTAACTTTAAAAGGAATACTTATGCTTATTTGATGAATGGAATGTGATATTTACTATGAATTTTTTATAGATACTCTTTATCAAGTTAAGGATTTTACTTACCTTCCATTCCTTGCTAAGTGCATTATAATAAATGAATTTTGTCAAATGATTTTTTCTTCTGTTTTTATTGAGATTATCATTTTATTTATTTTCTTTAATTTATTAAAGCAATAAATTTACATTAATAGCTTTTCTAATCATAAACCAACCTGGTATTATTGGAATAAAGTCTAGATAGTCATGATGTATTTTTAAAGCATTGCTATATTTATTAATATATCACTTATGATATTGAAAATAAGTTTTTAATTGAATTGACCTTTAATTTTCCTTTTCTTGACCTTATACTACTTCTATGTTAATCTTATACTAATTGCAGGAATGAAATTTTAGAAATTCCTCTCTTTTTATATTCCCTAGAAAACTTGTATTCCAGGACTATTTTATGAAAATGTATAAAACTCAATACAGTTATGCTGATCAGTACCATAAGCTGGGCTTTCAGGCTGCCCACGGTCACTGTTTGGGCTCCCAGGTCAGGCAGAGCCAGTGGCCATGAGCCACAGCAGGGCGAGGCTGCTGGCTTGGCTCTCTGCCTCAGTGGGGCTGTAGATGGGCTCCAGAGTTGGCCACAGCCTCTGGTTGGGCAACCTAGTGAGGCAGAGGCTGAAGGCTATGCTCAACAGTAGGGTAGTGTTGCTGGCTTGGCTTTCTGTCTGGAGGGGACTATAGAATTAGCTCTGTGGCTGTCTTGGGTCCCTGGCTAGGTTTCCTTGTTAGGTAGGGCTGAGGGCTATGCTTCACTGTTGTGTAGAGCTATGGCCTTGCTTTCCTGTTTTAACAGGCCATAGGGTGTGCTGTGCAGCCACATGGCATCTTTGGCCACTTACTTTGGGCTGTAGGATGTGTTACATGGTTGCCTTGCATCTCAGGCCAGACTTCCTCCTTCAGTGGGGGCTAGAGGCTATGCTCTTTCAACAAGACAGCCTTCTGGCTGGTGACCCAAACCAGGCAGAATTGCCAGTTAAACTCCTTATCCAGTTGGGGCCACTGGCTCAGCTATGCAAATGATCAGAGCCACTAATTGGAATATCCTCTGAGGCCCCACCTCTGGCAGGAACACAGTTTGCCAAGATCCCTGTACTTGTTGTGAGCTCCTCCTCCTTCTCTATCTCTAGCTAACTTTCCCAGGTATCTCCATGAGGCATACTTAGTGGGCCTCCCAGGAATCATGCAGAATGCTAGGGAAGCTTGATGTCCAGCTTGCGCTCTCCTTTCCCACCAGAGAAACTGCAGGCCCAGGGGGACCCCCTCCCTGCAGCACTGCGCTGACCTGGGGGAGGAGCAATGTGGGCAGAGTGAAGCTGCTCCTCCTTCCCTTCCTAATGCTGTTTTCCTCCGGTTTTGTAGTCCAAGGGATTGCTTTAGCCTTACCCCTGTGTGCTGGGATCTTTACAAAGGTATTTTGTCTATGAATAGTTGCTAGTTGCTCTTCCCCTGAGAGGCAACCACCTATTTGTCATCTATCTGACATCAGTTTCCTGGTTCAAGTTTTTGTTTTTTTTAAAAATATATTTTATTGATTTTATACAGAGAGGAAGGGAGAGAGATAGAGAGTTAGAAACATCCATGAGAGAGAAACATCGACCAGCTGCCTCCTGCACATCTCCTACTGGGGATGTGCCTGCAACCCAGGTACATGCCCTTGACCGGAATCGAACCTGGGACCTTTCAGTCCGCAGGCCGATGCTCTATCCACTGAACCAAACCGGCTTTGGCGTCCTGGTTCAAGTTTTATCAAACTATTGTTTCATACATTGTGCCTAGATTTTCAGTTGTTTCAGGCAGAATGGTAAGTATGATCTCTGTTATTGCATCTAGGTCAGAAGATGTTCGATATATTTTTTGCAGCGAGTATGATTAAAAAACCAAAAAAACCCACATAATTCTCTAAATATTCACATAGAGACTTTTCTTGCAGATTGACTCTTCTAATTGGGGTTTGGAAAAAATGGTCCTATGTGTACTTTTTTTTTTTACATTGAATTTTCTATTTTTTTAAAATCTACAGTTTACCCATAATTGGATTAGATTATTGTATATAATAATGTAATATAAATCACTGATGCATTTATGTTTTATTGGAATTAGATTATATTTAGTACTTAATGGAACGCTGCTGAAAAGAGCTTATGCTATTTTTCATGCTTGTTTTCCCTTCTTATTCCACCAATATATGAAGAAATGAGATAAAAAGGAGAACTTAGACATATCTTTCTATTGCCTGAAATTTTGTATTACTAATTTGTGTTCTGGAATAAAGGACATCCTTGTCCTGTGGCATATTGCTGCCAAAATAAATTTCCAGAGGTAATAGTTTCATTCTGTTTTAAAATTATTTCTTAAAAACCAGTCATCTAACTCAGAAAGAGAGTAAGAGCCAAGTTTTAAAAACTATATACTAGGAAATGCCCAATTTATAAATGTATACATATTTGTGCTCATAAGTTGGGTAATATTGCACCTAACAACTCTATTCATTTTATCATTATTCACTTTGTATGTATAAAGATGAAGGCTTTTTAATTCAAGTTCTGTGGTCTGGGACACTCATGGTTGGGACATGGTTATATTTCATGCTTCTGTTCAGTGTTAATGCATACAGTTTCATGGGAAATTATAGAATACCTTATTTACTCTGGTATAGCTATAACAAGGGGTTATTTAGTTAACATGTATTCTGAAGGGGTATAAGTAATTAAGAGTTAATTTGGCTTCATCTGTTATATAAAACATGTTAGAAAAGCTATACAAAAATCTGTATTGGAGTCTTTGCATCAGAGGACTAAGTTGACATCTGAATTGAAGTTCTGCCAAGTATAATTTAAAAATTATGTTTCCTTAAAATGATTGTGATGGTTAAAATAGATATCCTAGACATTTTGAGATTACAGCTCATCTCTAAAATGACTGAGCCCAGATACAGTAGTCCTAATAAAGTTTATTGACAGACACTGTGCTAATAGATTTTAGAAGAAAAAAATAGTCATTATTTAGTCTAAACAATAATTTTGCAAAATCATATATATATAAGTATATACATATTATTTATAATATATATATAGATAATACACACACACACACACACAGATTATTATGACCACCTGACGTTTGTAGGCAAATTAGCTATAATTTCGCGCTGAAGTTGCTAGAGGGCCAGACCATTATAAATAGGGAAGCAGGTTGTTTACCACGACAATAGAAGTGATTTTTTTCTGAAGATATGGGTAAACAACGCCTTTGAACGTGGGATGGAGATATATATATATATATATATATATATATATATATATATATATATATAGTATACACACACACACACAAACATGTATTAGTTTCCTATTGCTGCTGTAACAGATACCACAGACTGTGATTTAAAACAATATAAATTATTCTCTTACATTTGGGGGCGGGGAGCAGAAGTCCGAAATGAGTTTCACTAGGGCAAAACCAACCTTTTTAGCAGGGCCACAGTCTCTAGAGAAACTCTCGGGGAGAATCTGTTTCCTTGCCTTTTCCAGCTTCTAAAGGTGCATTTCTTGCATTTGTTGCTCATGACCCCTTCCTCCATTTTCAATGCTAATAGCCACACTACCTTTTCCTTTTTTGTAGTAAAATCTTCATCTGTGCTCATAAATTGGGTAATTGTGCACCTAACACTTGTGATTACAACTTCATGATCCTTCACCAGGCCTGCAGTCAGAGAATTGAGAGGATCAGCATTTCCAATACTTTGTGATAGGAACCCTTGTGATTACAATTTTGGCCGACCTAGGTAATACAAGACTGTCTCCCCACCTGAAGATCCTTAACTTAGGTCGTACATTTAAAGTTTTTTTTTGCTATGTAAAGAAGCTATCCAGGATTAAGATGTAGATATCTTTTATGGCCCAAATGGAGGACAAAATGCTGCCAAAAGTCACATAAAACAAAACATGTTAGAAACCAGTACAGTTGGGAAAGAAGTTTTATGGATGGATTGATAATATAAGCAAGGGATCCTGGAGTTCTTCCGCTATGTTCCAAAATTTTGTATTATTGACTGATTTTTTTTTGATACAAACAAATGGGACATTAATCTTCAGTTTTTTCTGATATACTTCATCTTCTACTCTTGTCTTGCCCTATAAAACCAATATTTAGTAATATAAGGTCATGCATTCATGAATTGGAGCACAGATTTACACAGCTTGATATTATGCTTAATTTAGAAATAATTTACATTTGGTATTTGAACATAGACACATGTTCATATATGTACTTTCATATTTCCTTTAAACCTTTTCGTCACCCTCTTTTTCACCTTTGTTATTCTCAACACTAATGAAGGATTGACCACTTTGCCACTGATGGCAAAGTTTTTCTAAGCAATATTATGAGAGTTTTTTTTTAGGAGAGAATTCTAAAGGTTCCTTAAGTCCTAGGAGATCTCAGAGCTAAATTATTATCATTATTATTATTTTTTTTTTGGTGAGGGATCATGAATTTATTTACTCAATCATCTACATACCAGGTGGCTGAGCCTGGATGGCTCCAGCCGAGCTAGATTATTTTTTGCTGTTATTATTCAGTATACTTCCAGTGTTTACATTTTATTGAATACCTTTGGAGATAAAATTTTACTTGGTACTTCTAATATATGGCTCAGTGACTTCTACAGTTTCCAATAAGTATGTTTTAGCATGTAACTTTATTAAGTGTGTATTTTGTTGCATAATTTATAAGGTAGATGTTTACATTTTTCTTTCCTGAACTACAGGATACCAGAAGGCCCCATTGATCAGGGGCCAGCTTCTGGAAGGATTCGTGCTTTAGAAGAGCAGCTTGTGAAGGCCAAAGAGCAAATTGAAAATTATAAGAAACAAACTAGAAATGGTAGGTGATTATACAGTATATTTCTCTCCTCGATATATTGATATTAGTACCAATAATTGAAAATTTTATTTCATCAAAATATTGGAAATGCTGATACTCCCAATTCTTTGACTGCAGGTCTGGGGAAGGATCATGAAATTCTGAGGAGGAGGATTGAAAATGGAGCTAAAGAGCTCTGGTTTTTTCTACAAAGTGAATTGAAGAAATTAAAGAATTTAGAAGGAAATGAACTCCAAAGACATGTGGATGAATTTCTGTCAGATTTGGGACATCATGAAAGGTACACTTTTTACTTTATATTTCATTTGGGCTTTAGTAAAAATTATAATCTAAGAATGGGAAGCTGGAACTTTTGGTAATTTCCCTGTTGGATGGTAAATGATACCTACCATAGTTAGGAGTAGGAGAATACCTGAGATCTCAAAGGATAATAATTGCCAGATGTAGTTCATCAACTAAAAATATATCACGGGACGATATTATTTAAAACATATTTCTAGTCTGGCCCTTTGTGACTCAATGGTTGAACATTGACCCATGAACAGGAGGTCAAGGTTCAATTCCTGGTCAGGGCACATTCCTGGGTTGTTGGCTCAATCCCCTTTAGAGGGTGTGCAGGAGAAAACCGATCAATGATTCTCATTATTAATGTTTCTGTCTCTCTTTCCTTCTCTCTTCCACTGTCTGAAATCAATAAAAATATATTTAAAAAGTAAATAAATAAAACATTTTTAGAAATCTCTATACCCTAAGTAAATTCTGAAGGTAGTGGTATAAGCCAACAATACTTTGGAAATCTGTAAATTTCCTTCATATACAATCGATATTTGAAGTGGAGTCTGCAGTTTTATATTATAATATGCTGGAACTCATGCTGAGCTGGCAATTACTAGTATGTTTCTAATTCAGACATTAAAAACATTAAAATAGCCTCTTTTTAGGGTTTGTAATTAAAGATGAACAGGTTTTTGATAAAAGGGATCATTCTGTTGCATTTAGTTGCTAGAAAGAAGAACCTGAAATCTGCCTAATTCTTTTGTTTGCACTTTTTTGAAAATAACGCAGTTTATTACATAGAAAAGAAAACATTTTGGTGCTGGTGTGTTTATGCAGAGCAAAATGTATCTGAGAATCATTATAAATACAGTGAAAACTGTCCTTAGCCCTGTTATATTTATGTCTATATTCCCAGTAGGACTGTAATGGCAATTACTGTCTCATTAGTGAACAATAAATGAAAAATTGTTCTATTAACACAACCTACCACTGTGAAGAGGAAAAGAGTTACCCTATTACAATAGGATTCATATATATTAACATCATTAGCAATATTGCAGTGATTTTGAAATACTGACCTGCTGTTTTATTTAAGTGAAATTACAAATAAAATCTATCAGTTTATTCGACTCATTTTAACATTAATGAATCTACAGAAGTAAGACAGTTTGAAATCAAGGGACATTGAATTATTATGCCATTGGACAGACCCTTTGAAATTTTTAGCCTAGTTTGCAATCAAGTAGTAGTTAGACCATTAGACCAAATGATGACTAATTCTGCCCTTAATGCTTCTCTACCTTCAAGCTAATTCTAGGTACCAAGATTCTGTTAATTGGAGCTGTGTGTTTGCATGCTTTACTTATTGCAGTTTTATGGGGAAATCCAACTCCGAAGAGGATTTGAGTTGGGTAAACTGTGGTATTTAAAGGAGAATTTTGACTGTTGACTTCTGATGGAATGTTTAAAGTTTGGGTGATTTAATTAAATTACTTGAGAATCAAAGTAATTATTTAAAGAATTATTTTGTACATATATTTTGTTACCAAATGTAGAAACAGCATACAAATGAATAACGTTAGGCCCTGGATACTTGATGTACGGTAAATCAGTGTTACATTTTTGTAAGTTGAATTATGATTCCTGACACTACCTTTCAGTATATGTTAAATAATAACATTGAATTGGATTAAACATTATAATAACACTAGAGGCCCGATGCACCAAAATTTGTGCAAGAGTAGGTCTTCCTTCCCCTGGCTGCCAGCACCGGCTTCCGTCCGGCACCCAGGACCTGGGCTTACCTCCTCTGGCCGCCGGCAGGCACCCAAGACCCGAGCTGCTTCCCTCCTCGCAGACACCCGGGACCCGGGCTGGCTTTCCTCTAGCCCTGGCTTCATCAGGAAGGATGTCCAGAATGACATCTGGAAGACATCTGCTCTAATTAGCATATTACCCTTTTATTATTATAGATTTCACAGAAAATAAAAATGGAAAGGTACCCAAGGTACAAAGACCAATTTCTTTTACTGTCATTTGCAAAAATTATAATGAACTTGGGACACAACTTCACAGAGTAGTAATTTAACTCTAGGCAGCCAGATTAGAATGCAGTGGCACATATAATGAGCAGAGCACCATCAAACACTAGAGAAATAACCTTTAATGAATGTTCAAGTACAGAAGATTTGTATATATAGAGTATGCCATCTTACTGTTAATTTTCATGTTTTTTACATGTAAAAATTAAGACAGACATTTATGTTTGCCTCTGATGATTTACACAGAAATCTTTATTTCATTTTTATACTTGCCCAAATCATAGTGTCTATGTTGTCTCTGGACTGAAAGCCTATGTTCTCTGAGAAATCAGAGGTTAAGTTTATCAGTTTTCTTGTTCAGATTTCCCTATGAATCGCTCATCATTTTTTTTTTTGTTTAAAAAGACATCAATTATAGGGGGAAAACTTAAGGGCTTTTGTTTCTTCAGAAGGGTTCTTTCTTTCTTAAGACTTTGATAGAAACACTGATTCTCTTTTTTCCTCTCTGAATCAACTTTATTGCAGCATAATTTATGTATGATAAAACGAGCATATTTTAGTCCATAGTTCTATTAGTTTTGACAAATGTTCACAGTTTTGGAACCACCACCCTAGTCAAGATTCAGAACATTGCTACTGCCGCGAGAAATTTCATTATGCTCCTTTGTAATCAGCACCTCCTCCATCGCCAGTCCCTGGCAGTAACCAGATCTGTTTCCTGTCCCTATAATTTTGCCTTTTAAGAATTTTATATAAATGCAATCATACATTATATAGTTTTTGAGTGTGGTTTCTTTCACTTGGCATAATGCATTTGATATTCATGCATGTTGTTTTGTGTATTGGTAGTACATTCCTTTTTATTGCTAAGTAATATTCCATCATATGGATATATCACAGCATATCCATTTACCAGTTGAAGGGCATTTGGGTTTTTTTCCATTTTTTGGTGATTATGAATACAGCCACTATAAACAGTACCACACATATTTTTCTGGAAACATGTTTTTATTTATTTTCGGTTAATGTCTAGGAGTGGGCTTGATTGGTCGTAAGTTGAATGTCTAATTTTATAAGACACTGCTAAACTATTTTCCAAAGTGATGGTACTATTTTGCAGTCACCAGCAATGTTTAATAGTTCCAGTTGCTCTGTATTTTTGTCTGCACTTGGTATTCTCAGTTTTTACATTACCCCTACCCCTTACCACCATTCTGATAGCTATATAGTGGTATGTCATTGTGGTTTTAATTTGCATTTCCTTATTAATGATGTTGGGCATCTTTTAATGTGTTTATTTGTCATACATCTATCATCCTTGGTAAAGTGTTTATTTAAGTCACATGCTTAATTTGGGGGAGTATTGTTTGTTTTATTACTGAGCTTGAAGCATTCTTCATTTATTAATGTACTAGAGGCCTGATGCATGAAATTCATGCAAGAGTAGGCTTTTGCAGCCCTGGCTTCATCTGGAAGGTCATCCAGATGGACGTTCGTTCTGCTGTTTGGCCGTTAGGTCAACTTGCATATTACACTTTTATTATTATAGACAAATCTTATTGGTGCATTTTAGAAAGCTCATTTTGAAGGCCATGTGAAAGAAATCCTGCTGCCAGGAAATTAGAAGAATTTTGCAGAAGTGCAAATAAGCTTCTGGACCAGGGTGGTTGCAGTAGGGAGAAAGAGATAAGTGTGTGAAAAAATAGAAGCTACAGGACTTGCTAACAGATCTGATGTGGGGAGATAGAGGAGTCAAAAGTAATTGACTAGGAGGATAGCTTTCATAAATGGAGATTATTGTTTCTTGTGTACTAATTTGGCTTTTCTCTGTGACAAATCATAATCCTCTCAGAACTGGAACTCCAGCTTAAACATCTTCTCTATCCCACAGTGCTAAGCACTCACTATTTAGTTAAGAGTTCAGTAAACTCTGTCTTTTTGGGGGGGTGGGGGTGGGGAGGCAGGTATGTGCATTCTTTGACTGATTATTCCATATTCTACTTTGGCCTTTTTGTAAAAACACAAATTGTTCCATTGAAGGATTTATGAAAATTATGTAACTAAAGAAAATTATGTAGTTGAGGTCAAAATATTCTCCAGCAATTGAGATTTCTAAGAGTTGTGAAGAAAAAGTCACAGGAGAAAAACCATTTGTCCTGAATAAACCTGAAAGCTCTAGTTAGTTTCAGCAGTGGGTTCTACAAAAGAGAGAGTATCTGTTAGAAGTTCACTAGTGTATAGAGGGGGATCATCCTGATAGGAAGCATGGGATTAGAAGAAACCTGACATTGAAGGATTTTCTGTATTCGATGTTTGATTCACTTTGGAGGACTTAATGATCTCTGTATTTAAAAGTAGTCTTAAGACACAGTTACACATGAGTCCTTAAAAATAACATAGTGTTTCTGATTTGGAGTGTAATTCTTATGCTAAGCAATGGAGAATGGACTTTATTTTTATTGAATATGCATGTTAAAAAATATTGTTACTGCCCAGCTGGTGTGGCTCAGTGGTTGAGTGTCAACCTGTGAACCCGGAGGTCACAGTTCTATTCCCAGTCAGGAAACATGCCTGGGTGGCAAGCTCGATCCCCAGTGTGGGGCATGTGCGAGGCAGCCGATCAATGATTCTCTCTCATCGTTGACGTTTCCGTCTCTCTACCTCTCCCTTCCTCTATAAAAATCAATAAAAACATATTTAAAATATACACATTATATGTTGTTACTGAATATATCTAATCACTCATTTACAGTTCATGTGACATTAACTTTAATAAGTATCAGTTTCTTCATTTTGGGATTTTCTTGCTTGAATTGCATCTGTGCAGTGCCGGCCCTCAGGGAATTTCTTTTAACATTTTTTTTTTTCACCTCTGGTCTTATTTTACAAGATATTTTTTAAAAAAATATATTTTATTGATTTTTTACAGAGAGGAAGGGAGAGGGATAGAGAGTTAGAAACA